AAGCCGCGTTTGTTCCGGGTGATCTCCGAAACGGCTGGAGCGATTTCGACCGGGGACTAAAGAGTAGTTGACATAGACAGACGTATTATAGGCTACTTTGTATCTTATTAGTCAGTGGACGAAGTCGCGGGCAACGGCTATTTTACAATATGTACTTGATCGTACATCGACTTGCAAAATATCTACTTCACAAAAAAAAATGTCATAGCTTGTAGGAGTCTTGATACATGGGTTCGAATCCTAAACCCTTTCCCGAACTATGATAGTATATTCTTCGTGTATTCGTTTACAGATTGCTAATGTAATTAAATTCATAAACACTGACACAACTTAAAATCACATAACACTTTATTTTTATGTATTAAAAAACTCACCAAAGGATTCATTCTTATAAAATAAAAATATTTCACTGATGTATCACTATGGGTTCACGCAAAGCAATGGGCCAGTTGGAGCAACACTTGCCTTTATACATAGACTGACGGGCATTACGCGAACGCTCTCTGACGCATAATTATCGCAACGTAATATCGGAGATGTTAATATTGACCACGATTTCTGTATTAAAAAACGGGAATGGGCATTTTATTTTTAATGAATGTGTGGCGAACACAAACAGAAAGGGATAACGATATACGCGCGTTAAAAGCCGATGATATAGGCTAGGTCTAGGATGTAATTGGCTGTCCCCCCATGCCCTAGTGATTCCCAAGCCTATGTCTGGTGGTAAGTAACGATTTTTTATTTAACGAGTTTAAGTTTTGTTTATAAATAATTGTAATAATGCTATTCTTGGCATTTTGTTGTCATATGCGCGGTTTAAGTGTGAATTGGGTATCATGCTATGCTTTGAAATAGGACAATGTCCGCGTAATAGTGTTTTTGTGGTGAACCTACAGAAAATAGTATTTCATTGGGTTTTGAGCGTAATTCGCATTATTTCCCTTGAATTGTCAACAAGACTGCAAAACAATGTGATGATACGATGAAAACAAGATAAGATAAAATAACTATTTGTAAATAACTACTATGAACAAATTAGCTAAAACAAGATACTTTTAAGGAAATTTTAACCTATAAATGTACAATAGACACTGCAACACTCAAAATTAATTGGTTACTTAGGAGAACCTTTAGTGTAGGTTTTTCTTATTTAACTTTACGATAAAAATGGATACGCACTGACAGAATGTCAACCTTGACAGCATAAGTTTTGGGGTTTCCCATCTTTACACCATTAAGGCGTGTTTAAAAGGCCGTTGAGGTAATAATGTTCACACTAAGGAGAATACTAACTATTTATTATATTAAACTTAACTTAAGTCTAACGCCCTGTTTCTTAAAGATTTGTATAAATGTTATTAAATCTACTGTCAAATTGACGGCCATTGAAAACAATTGTTATTGACAGCTACGTTTAGCTTAGATTTTAATGTTATCTAATAAAAATCTTTAATATAACACATATTATGTAAAAATGCAATTAAATAAATTATTATTATCAATTGATTAACGTTTAAGAAACTTTATAATAATTGCCAACCAATTCCTAACCTCAAAATATTCGATGTTAGAAATAGCTGACGAAGATATTCAATTAGAGGGTCTACTTATAGTAATAACAGTTATGTTAAGTACAACATATTGTATGATAAGTATCTCATAATGCAATACATAAATATATCTTTACGGAAGGGATGACAATAAAATTTTGTGTCCCAATATGGGTCGACGCCGTATTGAGAAGTGGACACAAGGATTGAATAAATAATTCTTTATTAACCCATTGTTTATTTATAATAACTATTGGCAATGTATTTAATCTATGTTGAAAGAGCTTTGATATAAGCTAACACACGCGACTTCATTCGCGTAGAATAAAACAAAAAAATGTAGTCTATGCCTAATTTCATCTAGAGCCAATAATTCTTTGCATTTAATAACAAATTCAGTTATATCGTAAATTCTAAGTTATATCGTAAGTTTGTAGGTCAAATTATTTCACGGATTCCGAGGAAACTTGGTTAAGATGATAGTCTGGAAGAACACATACTCTACTTCTTTTGTTTTTTTTCACGCGGACGGAGTCGCGGGATTTAGCTAATATTTTGTGTCCGCCGTCCCGTTTTAGCTATAAATAGACTGAAGAGCAATTTTACCTTCCGTTTTCCGCGTAATGGATACGTGATTGTATCAAATATTTAATAAATTAGACGACTATATTGGAATACCCCAAGGATCTCATGCGACCCCGAACACCCACGATATACCTTAAAACGTAGTAAGGACACTATTAATATGGAAACTACTCGATATGTTTGTATTAAAACATATGCACTTTTATTAACTAATTGACCTGGATAAAAGGTTGCGCGTATGCAACCGATATTTGAATTTTCTCGTTGTATCGGATAGAAAAGTACTCGTGTTCCTGATTAGTTAAATCCAAAATGTCATATTTAAACTTACTTAGGGGCAGTACTACCAAATTCTCGTAAATTGCCTGATAATAATCAAACAGATAAAATACGTGACGGAAGTATAGGATTTTTTTGTTTCACAATTCAAGATACCGATAAGTAAGAACCTGGTAGTTAGTAAAAGCGGCAACGTCGCAA